GGGCGGGCGCTGCGGACGCGGGCAGCGGCGAGATGGGCGCGGCCACGAGCGCCGCGGCCACGGGCGGTACGGGCGTGGTGTCCGCGGCCGGCTGCGGCAGGGGCGGCGGTCCGCCCAGGTACAGCACCTGCGCGAGGGACGTCACCGATAATTGGAGCTCGATGTGACTCTGTACGTATTGTTCATGCTATCGGGTTACTCGGTGAACGTGCGGGGGGGGGCGTATGAGGACGCGAGGTACCGACCTGCGCGTCGAGTTGTCGCGCGGCCGAGATCGACTTGCGGAAGTACTCAGTGCCGTTCAGCTTCACCTGCACCAACGTGGAGTTCCTCACCACCTGCACGAGAATGGACAAGTATTAACAATCTGTCAATAGTCGCAGCCGCCTCGTAGTGGTGGCGGGCGCCGACCTCGATGAGGTGTAGGTAGCCGTTGTCGAGACGCGTGCCGCCCACGGTGTAGTTCTCCGGCGTGAGGTTGAAGCGCAGGTGCAGCAGCAGCTCGCCGCCGTTCAGCGACGCGCCCACCCGAGTCTCCTCCGACTGCCCGTCCCTGCGACGCCGCATTCGATTCAAACAAATACTTGGGACGGTTGCGACGGTTGTAAAATAAAAGGACAGTAAGAGTGCGTCACCTGGGCACGGAGCCGAGGTAGAAGATCTGTCCGGTGGGCTTGCGCGTGCGTATGAACATGGAGATGTCGAGCGCGGCGCGCACAGCTCGGCGCGCGGCGGGGGAGACGCGCACGCGCACGGTCTCGCGGCGCGGCGCGGCCTCGTGCGCGAAGGTGGCGGGCGTGTAGGCGTACTGGCAGGTGGCGCCGAGGTGCGGGCGCGGGCACGTGCACACGAAGCTGCTCCACGCGTCCTCGCACGCGCCGCCCGACCGGCACGGGTTGGGCTCGCACTGCGCCACGCGCGGGCACGACGCCAGCACGCCGTGCAGCTCAGCGCGCGCGCCCCCCGCCTCCTCCTCCTCCTCCGCCTCGCCCTCGCCATCGCCCTCCCCGCCCGCGCCCTGCGCCTCCTCGGTCGTCGCCTCCGAGGACGTGGCGTTTGAATCCTCCGGCAGCACCTACAAAGGAGATGGAGAATAAGAAGGCGGGTCGGCAGTCGGGCGCTAGATGAGACGGGGGCGAGGAAAGCGACGCACCCACTGCCCGTTGACGACGACGTCCTGGAAGCAGCCGACGAAGTAGTTGGGGCCGTGCGTGAGCGTGGCGTAGGAGGAGCCGGCGGTGCCGAGCCGCGTCGAGGGGAACGAGGTGACGGACGCGTTGAACGCCTCGTTCTGACTAATGGGGTAGATGGTCTGCTCCTCGTTGGCGGCCAGCACCAGGTGCGACGAGTTGATGGTCACGAACACCTGCGCGCACACCACACGTCCAAGGCTCAATACATACAGTGAAAGGTCGAGAAATCGTCCCGACAGTAACGCGGTGCAACGGCCACCTTTTGCCAGTTGCTGTCGTTGAGGCCGGAGCCGATGAAGACGCCCTCCCACTTGTTGAGCAGCGAGGAGTGCAGGTTGAGGCGGCCGCTGGACAGCTCGAGGAAGAAGTAGGTGAGGCCGCGGCCCATGGCCAGCAGGCCGTTGCCCAGCGTCGTCTTGAAGCGGAACGAGATGTCGTAGCCCTCCTCGCGCGAGGTATGCACCTCGGCGTAGCTGCTGTTCTCCAGCGACATGGTGGTTATCTGCACAAAGATACGACACTCGTAGTGGCGGCCCGGCGCGGAGGCTGCGGCGGTGCGGCAGTGTGGTGGTGCTGGGCGGACCTTCTCGCAGGTGGTGCCGTAGTGTCCGGGCGTGCAGGAGCAGTTGAAGCGGTGCTCGGTCTCCTGTCGCAGCCAGGGCAGGCAGGTGCCGTGGTTGCGGCAGGGCTGGTCCCGGCAGCCCTCCAGCACGACGGAGCAGTTGCGGCCGCCCCAGCCCGCGTCGCAGGCGCAGTAGTAGGAGGCGCGCAGGTCGTAGCAGCGGCCGTGGGCGCACGGCTTGTACCTGCGCCAACAATGCACGTTATCGCGGGACGGGGGCGGACCTCGGCGGACCTCGGCGAGGGGGTGAGAGGTGTGACGTCACCTGAGGCACTCGTCGATCTCCTGGTCGCAGTGGACGCCCTCGAAGCCGGGCGAGCAGAGGCAGGTGTAGGAGCCGACGCCGTCGAGGCACTTGCCGTGCCTGCAGGGCGAGGAGGCGCACTCGTCCACGTTCACCTCGCAGCGCGCCCCCTCCGTGCCCGCCACGCACACGCACTCGAACCTGTCCCGCACAAACACCACTATACCGCTCTATTCAACTTTACGGTACCATTTAGTAAATATCTTACAAACTATGTATCAATTTATCGGCGAACATAATGATGTGTGTTAGTGAAATAAAATGATCGGCCGATTCGGTACCCGCTGGCGTTGTCGAAGGAGAAGGGCTGGTAGAAGTGGTCGGGCAGCAGCATGTGGGGCTGCGGGCCCAGCTGCAGCGGCGGCGCGTCGGGCGCGCGGTACAGGCTGGCGTTGCTGCGCTCGAGGCACACGCCCTCGTACTTGCAGGGCTCGCCCTCGCACTCGTTTATGTCCACCTCGCAGTTCTTGCCTGGACATGCAACACCGTATTGAGGGAGCGAGGTGGGGCGAGGTGGGGTGGCGAGGTGGGGTACGGACCTGTGTATCCGGCGTGGCAGGCGCAGTGGTAGTCGTTGAGGTCGTCGAGGCAGGTGGCGCCGTTGCGGCAGGGCTGCTGCAGACACTCGTCTATGTTGAGCTCGCAGTCGGCGCCCTCGTACCCGGTGCCGGCGCACTCGCAGGTGTAGTGGTTGAGCGCGTCGGCGCAGCGGCCCCCGTGCTGGCACGGCTGCGACTGCAACATGCACCATGCACCATGCACCGACCCTCACTATTCCGTCTGCTCTCTCATACAAACTATCCTTTCACATCTAACGTTTATTAAAATTTTATCTCATTATTTTACATATTTCTCATTTAAATTAAAAAAGTACAGTACCTTGCAATCGTCGATATCGATTTCACAATTGGGTCCTGTGAGGCCGTCTTGACAGACGCAAGAATAACTGGCGACGCCGTCGACGCAAGTGGACCCGGCGGCGCAAGGGTTATTTTCACATTCGTTTATATTTATTGAACAGTCCTTGCCTAAAATTAATTATTCTTTTAAGTATTTGCTTTTCTACGACTTTATGAATACAGACAAAAACTTACCGTCGAAGCCGTCCACGCAAGTGCATTCGTAATTATTTTCTAAGTTGTGACAAGTGCCGCCGTTCTTACAGGGCGACGACAGACATTCATCAATATCTTGTTCGCAGCTGTCACCAGTGTATCCTTTAAATCACAATATTAATTAAAAATTAAAATAAAATAATGAAGTGGCAAGTGTCGTTACATTAATTACTGTGGCGTGTATTACCTGGCTTACAATAACACTGATACGATCCCGGAACATTTACACAAACGCCGTTGTTACATATCTTGGGCATCAGTGAACATTCATCCTTATCCGATTCACAGAACCTTCCTGAAAAATAAAACATATTACATTTATTTAACTAATAAACCATATTTAATCAAACTTTTAAATCAAGTTACAGAACAAACCGTTAATTAAGCAAAATAAAAATATTTTCAATAAATTATACATCAGTGTAATATTAACAGTACGGGAGAAACGTAAAAGGGCTAATTAAAAAAAAACATTGAAGTCAATATTAGTCACACCGCATCGCATATCGTTTCGTTTGCACAAGTGATTTAAATCTGCTAGCGTACTTGTGTTGTTGTATAATAATTATAATATTTTATCGCTGTGGAGCGAAACGAAAGTAAAATTACTGAATTTATGAATAGTATGCCACCTAATTATCGTTATTTGTTGAAAAATATGCGAATAGATAAATTAAATGTAACGACATTTCATTTGCATTAAAAGAATTTGCAACCGGAAAAACCGGCAACACAGTCACGTTGCTCACAGCACGGACATCACTATAAACGTCACGCCAAGACGAAATTATGCGTCAACGTCAAAACCAATCCATGCAAAAGGCTGTATGGCTTAGTTCCTTTGCCTGCTCTTTCGAGTGAATAATAAATCCATGCAATAACAAAAATGAACAATGTAAATGTTTATCGAATATATTCTCTATTTATAAGTGTGAACACTAGTAAATAAAGTGAATTGAGTATAAGTTTTTAAGTTAAGTTGAAGTATATGTACGATGCGGAGTTTTTTTAGGTTATACCAAAATCAAAGTGTTATTAGAATCCGCGTAAGTCAATTTGTGAGAAAAAAAAGTGCTAAAGTCAATGAAGAAATTGAAAAAACTGTCTCAAGTTCTAGATTTAATAACCTAATTGAAGAATATAGAGATAAAATAAAATTCAATTCTTATCTGGATAGGGAGATATTAGATTTAGGTTATTACAAATTTTACGTAAAATTTTTACGAAAAGCAGAGCAGATTGCAGCTAATTACTTAAAAGAAAAGTCATTGCCGCCCCTCCCCGTGGCATTAAAATATATCGATAATAATAAATTATTGTGTGATAATATTAAAGACGATGCTTCCACGCAAGAAAAAAAATTTCAACTCCCTTTCTCAAATCCGACAAACATTAACATATCACCTGAAAATCAAGACACCACTGAAAAAACTCGAATTAATTCTGGAAATGAGTTAACAAAAGATTTTGATCGGTCAAATATAACTAGATGGATGACTAATTATGAACATTTTGATGATAGTAAACTGAGAGCCCTTGACGAATTAGAGGATGATGATATAGATAGATTGGAGTGGTCTAAAAACTATGGAACCCCCGACCCAAAGTTTGGCATTAGTCAAGTACCATGTGGAGGCTGTGGGGCTCTGCTGCACTGCAGTGACCCTGCCATACCAGGCTATTTGCCCAGTGAGATCATAAAAGGTCGTACAGATAAAGATTTAAAAATCATAGAATGTCAACGATGTCACTTCCTTAAAGAGTATAACATAGCATTAGATGTGACCGTACAGCCTGAGGAGTATGAAAAACTTCTACAAAATATTAGGTACAAAACTAACCATCATTACTTCATAAAATAATTTTTATTTAGTCTGTTAGTACAAGAAGGGTACTGTTGTTTCAGTGATTCTTATGATCTGTGAACATGTCATTATTTGTTTATTGAACTTAATAGATAGATTTCTATAACTTTTAATACATAGATACACTCTTAAATAACTTAATGATTAAATGTGTTTGCAAATCATGTTGATATTTCTGTAATTCTATTAAATACTCTAACAATATTTCATGTGCAGCCATGTGAAATCCCTAGTCCTGCTGATGGTGGACCTGCTGGACTTCCCATGCTCTATCTGGCCAGGCATTGTTGACATCATAGGCACTCAAAGACCCCTTATTATTGTCGCTAACAAGGTAACAAACTATATTTATTATTCTAATATTCATGTTTTACTTTTAATGTATTTACTTTTAGCGATGTTTGTATTTTGTTTTTAATAATTGATTAAATATTTTTTAACTATCTTCATATAACATAATATTTTTACAATATATATAAAAATTGTTATAGGTTGATTTGCTGCCCGGTGACAGTGTGGGCTATCTCAAGCGAGTCAAAGAATGTCTTATGAGGGAACTCAACAAAACAACTTTGAGCGATGCCAACATCAAACACATCAGTCTTATTTCTGCAAAGACGGGCTACGGAGTTGAGGAGTTGATATCGGCCATGTTCAAACTGTGGATGTACAAGGGTGATGTATTCCTAGTGGGCTGCACCAACGTTGGCAAAAGTTCGCTGTTCAATGCTCTTCTGCAGTCTGATTACTGCAAAGTACATGCTGTTGATATTGTAAAGAGGGCTACTGTCAGCAGGTGGCCGGGGACTACATTAAATTTGTTAAAATTTCCTATAAATAGACCTTCCGGATGGAAAATACAACAAAGATATCAGAGATTAAAGTCTGAAGCCAAAGCTCTTAAACTGGAAAATGAAATAAGAAGGGGCCAAGTGAAAGGTAAAATATTTAGTGATGCACCATCACTGATCGGCCACATCGGAAGAACATTTGCTATGCCATTGACAGATGACCACATTGACCAAAAACAACCTATTGATATTCTGGATGAAAAGCATGAACTATTTGCTAACAGCAAATGGTTCTATGACACACCTGGTGTCATACATCCAGATCAGGTGCTATCTCTACTGAGCACTGAAGAATTATTGATGACAATACCAAAGAGTATAGTGAAGCCTCAAACTTACTACTTGCAGCCGGGCTCCACCTTGTTCATAGCCGGTCTGGCACGCATGGACTTTGTAGATTGCTCCGAGCCCTGTAGGTTCACCGTATTCTGTTCAGAACACCTACCGGTAACAGTTGTAAAGACAGAAGATGCCGATGAAATGTATGAGAAATTTTTAGGTACAGAGTTGTTTGCAGTACCCACAGGTGGTGCAGAAAGACTTAAAAACTGGCCCGGTTTGAAAATGGGAAAAGATATGCTGGAATTTTCAGGACAAGGACCAAAAGTGTGTTGCGGAGATATGGTTTTGTCTTCGATTGGTTGGATTTCTGTAACCGGCAAGTACAAGTCGGTGTGTAAAGTAGCAGCCTGGACGCCCGGCGCTCGAGGGATATACAAGCGGGAACCCGCACTGCTGCCCTATTCAATCAATTTGAAAGGCAAACGAATCCGCGACACACCCGCTTACACAGTAGGAAAGGTATACTCTGATGAGAGTAGTTAGTACATTCACATGTACATCAGTGCAGCGATCAATATTTGTATTTATAATCAATAAAGTAACGATAGAACATCGATCTTTCCTTTTATTTACTGTTTAATGATAACAACTTTATCACATCAGAGCATTTACACTTGTATATGTGCCTCAACCAATCATCTTTTCCAAAGTATTAGAGCACTGATAAGGCTGGATGTTGAGGAAATCGTTACTTTTATTCTTGTCAAGCTGAATGATAAATTCCGCATAATGAATAAATTTGACATTTTTCTGACACGCTTTGCACTTTACCACATAAATCATATAATGATTATACGTCTTAATGTGTGGTTGGGTTCCGTAAAATCCAAGTAAACCCTCTGTCGGGAAAAAGCGACAAAACTTTCGGAACAACCAACTAGGTGTGGTGCGTATTAACTAACCTGTGTATCCGGCGGGGCACTGGCAGCTGAAGAGGCCGGTGTCCAGCGCCAGGCAGGTGCCGTTGTGGCAGGGGGAGGAGGCGCACGCGGACTCCGCCCCCGGCGCCGCGCAGCGCCACGCCCCGCCCTGCTCCACGCACTCCTGCACAACCCGCACCGCCTTAAACCTGACCCTCGCCTGCGTGCCCAATCTATCACTGCCATACTTTCTCTATCTATTATGGGTACCTGTGCGGAGCGGTGCGGGCAGCCGAGCGCGCGGCAGTCCAGCAGCAGCTCACACTGCGCGCCGCCGTAGCCGGGCCGGCACTCGCAGCCGCCGGCAGACACGCAGCTGCCCCCGTTGAGGCACGCCCTCGCGCACTCCGCCCCGCCT